TAAAAAAAAAAACCTCTAAAAAAAAAAAAAAAAAAAAAAAAGACCAAATAAACCCCATCCCTGAAAGACCCAAAACGATGTGTCTCCCACCCCACTAAACCTGCACCCCTCCACAGGAAACCTCCTACTAGTCTTTTCTTCCCCTGATGACACTGGAAACCCCTCAAAGGCAGGGATGACCCTCCAGGCACCAGGCTCTCTGGCTTGCCTTCCTTTTGTGACCCCACTTGTAACATGGGCCACACCCTCCCATCTGGCTGCACACCTGGCTCGAAGAACTGCCTAGAACAGGGCCCCAGTCAGTGGTAGCAAACCGGATGGAGGGGTGAGTGGGCTGAAGCAGCGAGCAGATAGCTCTTGTTCCCTGCCCTCTGCCACATGCAGACATGTTGTGCACAACTCGAAACCTCCCTCTGTTCTGAGGTGCTAACCCTAGGATGTTTTTAAGTTTCACTCCGAGCCATGAAAAAAAGGAAGAAAACCAGGGGAAAGGCAGGTGGTTCAACAAAACAGACGTCCCATCCGTCACAGCCCCCACGGCCGCGTCTCTGAGCTCCCTGCTGAAGGCAGGTGACAGCAAGGCCCAGGGCTCCCGCCTGGCTCCCCACCAGGTCCCTGGGCCTTGTGCTGGGATTCCTGATCCAGACCTGGTCCTGCCACTCCCAGCCCAGGCCTTGGTCTCTGAAGAACAAGGGTCCCGACCCTCTTCTCAGCTCTCCCTGCCCTGTGCTTTGCTGCCGGGGTCCCCTCTGCCAGTGGGCTCCCCAGTTTGCCAGCCCCTCCATAGTTTCTTCCTTCTTCTCTGCTTAGCATTACAAGTCGAGCAATGATACCTCCTCCAGGATGCCTTCCCTGGCTCAGGCAAGAGCTAAGAACCTCCTGTGCTTCCATAGCCCTGAGGGCACGTCCTAACCCTCAGCACTACTGCCCTACTGGTTCCTGGCTCTCTCTGGCCCAGGCCTGAGCTCAGCAGCAAGAATGTGCTCACCCCAGCTCAGACAGCAGACGCTGGGAGGGGGCGGGAGAGTGCCTGGGAAGACTGATGACAGAAAGGTCCAGGAGGCTCCTCTTGGGTCAGGGCCCTTACCTGGATGCCGTGAGGAATGTTGTAAACTATGAGTATTGTCCCGCAGTCTTCGTGGCCGGGGAGCGACACCGGGAACCTGAACACCTCCATCTTCCCCCGGGGTTGGGTCCCAGTTTTCTCTCCGTAGATGGTTTTGCAGGAAGGACATTGCAAACTTCCATCCTGAGACAAGGCAGATGCAACCGATTGACTGAGCTGGCAGCCCTTTGGGAGCACCCAGACAATCGCCTCTACTGTCTAGATGGAGAGGCTCCCCAGGGGAGGCTCGGCCCGCTGTCATGGAGCAAGCTCTGGCAGAACGCCTGGCTCCCAGGCAGCCGCCCCTCACAGACACTGGTCTCCCACAGTGTCCTTGGAAAGCTTGATTTTGCACCAGAAACGCATTATGCAACTTTCCTTAAAGGGGTAAGGTATCAGGACACTGGTACCTGGCAGGAAGTTAGGTTTAAGAGCAAAAGTCTCCACCTAAAGAACACCTGGCTGCTGATCTTTGGTGCCGGCACACTGGCTCAGGATGCAGAGAGGCCAGGCCCGTTAGGCTGTCACATGACTTGGTTTTCTCTCTCCTCCCAAATCCTGTCCTGTCCTCCAGGATGCCGCCCTTGGCTCTCCCTGTGCAGTGTGGCTGGGGACCCAGAGTCAGCCCTGCCTCAAGGCCTGGCTCTCCACCTTCCAGATGGAGGACCCCAGGCTGGGTCTTTCTGAGCTTTCCCTTCATGGTACAGTGCTGTCCCCTCAAAGGAAGACGTGAGCCTGTGTGTGATGGAAGGTGAGAGGGTACCCTGCCACCCAGAATCTCCCTGAGCTTTGAGACCCTGAGCCTGGCTGCAGGGTCACTCTCCAAGCTGACTCTGCTGGGGTGACCTCATACCTGCACCCCAGAGCCAGCAGCTGACCCTTGCCCTGCTGTAGAGCAAGGACCACAGCCACCACAGGGCTGCCTGTGTCGAGCCACAGCCACCTGCTCAGAGCCCACCCCGCCAGCTGAGCACCTTGTTCCCACTGCAGTACATGGCCAGCAGGCACAGCAGGTGGAAGGCATGGCTGCACTTGGCGAGGCGACCCACGGCCATGGGCCCGATGGCCTTGCTGTCGGTCATGTCGCTGTACCCAGACGCCGCGGACAGCTTCTCCATGCAGATGATGCAGTCCTGGAGGGAGAGCAAACACGGCAGGCTCACCACGTAAGCCAAAGCAGCCCGTCGTGGAGGCAGCCTTCGCCTGCTCAGATGCTGGAATCACAGCCACAGCGCTGGAGGCTGGGAACACAGATGGGTCACCAGGACCCGTGCCCTCAAAGGACTTTCCTGATGTTGGGAAGACAGCCAAGCAGGGAGGAGGGAATGGCAGGCTCCTCTGGAGAGAGGCCCGCGAAGCTGGGACTTATAAGGAGGAGAGGAGCTACCAGGTGGCCAAGCACGAGAACGGCATCCAGGAAGAGGGACGTGTTCTGAGACCTGGAGCAGCACACACCTCGGGGGCTGGGGTGAGAGGGGTGGGAGGCAGACAAGAGCAGGGAGATGCAAGGTGCTGGCCAGCACACTCAGGAGCTGGGAGTACTGCTTCATCAGACCTACATGTGCGCTGGGTGGAGGGCAGCTTGAAGAAGAGAAGCCTGAGGCAGAACTGACCAGTGATACCGAAACAGGGAAGAGAGGCAGATATGACGCTGGGAAGGGGAGTACAGAGAGGGACCACAGAAGGGATGGGAGACGCGCGGATGACTCAGGCTTCTGTCCAACCTTTACTAGCCAGAATTTTCTCATGCACTCAGCCCAGAAGAGGTGCACTGTACTGGTGCATCTGACCTTTAACCCATGTCTCTGGCACTTCCAGGACTCCCCATTCAAAACAGAAAAGCAGTGCTGAAGCCCCAAAATACGGCTCAGCAGTGAAAGGTCTGTGTCCCCAGAGCTGTGGCAGGGGGTTGGCAGGCCACATTAATTATAAGACTCCTAACCAACTCTCCAAAGAGCCAGAGGGGCAGGACTGCTGACTGGACAAGGCCACTTGGCAGAACTTAGCCAGCAGGAGCAGAGCAGACTCGACCATCCCGTCCCAGGACCCTGGCCCCAGGGTGGCCTCCAGGCTACGCAGGGCCTGTGCTGAAGGCACTTTGCTCAGAACCACAGATGGTTCGTGGCAAAGATCAGAATGACATGGATGTCAGAGCCGTGGCTGCTGCCTTGTCCTGGTGATGCCTATCTCCTATGGGAGGCTGAGATGTAAAACCAAAGTGCCCGGGCACAGCAGCTGGCACCAAGACACCTAGAAAGTACTCCTCTGGCAGAGGACCGGATGATAGCCTTTCCCTCTGGGATCAGCCCTTGTTTCCAAACGAAAGCAAAGCAGCAGGACTGCCAGACCCTACCTCGTCCGGGGGTGTCCTCAGCTCTTCAGTGTAGTTCCTTATCACCTGCTCTGGTTCTGGCTTTGAAGTCCCCCCTGGAGGAGAAAAGAACATGAGCAGTGTTCCAAGGAGTACGAATGAAGAGGGTGATGCCAGAGCAAGGCAGCCGAGGGTGAGGTCCCAGCTGCCAGGAGGAAATGTTAGAAGGGCTGATGGGGAAGGTTAGCGTGCAAGACAGGAGAGCCTCAGCGCCAGACACAGAGGGCTCCAGAGCGCTGCCTGCAGAGCCCTGGGGAGGCAGCAGAGGGGCAGAAATGGCAGTGCGTCACATCTCTCAGGAGTGCAGCCTGGGGCACACTTGGCCAAGGAATCAGACCAGGCTGTTCTGAGGACGCCTGGGAGGTTAGACAGCCGCTTCAGAACGACCTACTCCGGAGGACGTTCCAGCAGCACTGTTTCATTCGACTTCATTACTCATGAATGGAGAGCTCAGAGAGAGGAAAAGCAGAGGAAAAACACAGCCTGGGAGCATACCCCGTGTGGCACCGGTGTGCACAACGGCAACACCTGCACTGCAATGACGCACAGCCTAGCTCTGCACTGTGGGGGTCTCGGTCACACGCCTACCCGGTTCTGAGCCCAGACACTCGGAAGCTGCAAGATGAAGCTGAAGTGCACCTTTGCCACCCCTCCTCATCTGTGGAACTAAGGGGTGAACCTGTCCCTCCATCAGTACCAAACCCTGACCAGAGAGCCCACCCAAGGGCAAGTAATTCCTCCCACCAGGGAGAAAACCAGCACAGCCCTCGTAGAGGCGGCAGAATCTCAGGAGAGCCAGGACTGTAGGCCAGCCCACGGAGCAGAAAGGAGGGATGGGGCACTGGCACAGCCCTGAGGGAGCCACTTGGAAGGGGTCCTCACTCTGCCTCAAGGTCACTGCAGGCTCCTGGCCCTGGTCTGGAGACCAGAGAGGGCTGGACTGAACTCAAGCTCCCGACCATCGGCCTGGGACTCCAAAGACGTAGAAGCCTACATGAGCAATAGCTGAACCCCTCTAGATCAGAGACGGCCGGGTGACAGCCGTGCAGGGAGCGGGGGCTTGGTGCAGTAGGGCCCAGAGGCAGAGAATGTCGGTTCTGATCTGGCTCTTGTGCTGTGAGCAGATCGTTTCACCTGAGTCCCAGTTCCCTCCTCTGAAAAGCAGAAGTCAACACCATACGAAGCTGTAATTGACAGGCATTAGCTGCCATCACCCCAAAGGCAGCTATAGGAAAATGACCACCATATACCCCCACACACTCATACCCACGTCCAGACAGACACACACACACTACCAACTTCCAGGCCCGACATCCTAGTCATGGTGGTGAGAAGCCCAGACCGAAACAATGACCATGTCCCATGCAGACTGAGAGGAGCCTTTCCTTTAGAAGGCCTGGTGGCCAAGGCCAGTCTCCAGATGAGCCCAAGAACCCCATCTGCCAGGACTAGTTCCTGCCCACGCTGGTAAGGCCCAGCTCAGCACTCATTCCTCTCCACCTACCTCTACCCAGGCAGCCTTTCAGAACTGAAGAGACTGTTCCATTAGTCATATACAAAAAGATTGTGGAGAAATGGAATTAAAGTACTATTTTGATGCCAAAAACAAAACAAAACAAAACAAAACCCTGGAAATGCATGTGTAGCTTTTTATCCAATATGCATTTTCCATGAAATTTTTGAAGACCCTACACGTTTCTGAAAGGGGGGCTGGTGAGGTGACGATAACCCCACAGTGGGACATCAGAGCCCATGAAGGCCAGGAAGTCACTGAGTCTGTATTCTTCCCAGACTAACCCAAGGGCCACGGAAGACCGCAGCCCCGACTGCCCACTGACCACCTCGGAGGCAGAACCCCGGGCAGGCGTCAGGAGCTCCAAGGCCTGCCCCTTCCCGGCCACCTCCTCTCCGATGGGTGGTCTTCAGGACTGCCAGACAACAGACACAGTTAAAGCCACCACCATCACCATGTGTCCCTTTCCTGCTCCTCACCAGCCAACCTGCCAAGTGTGAGGCAGCGACTCAAGAATGGCAAAAGCTGGTGAAAGCCCACAAAGCCAGCAGAGCCACAGCCCACTCCCTGCACACCACGGCACCTCGAAGGTCCCCTGTGCTTCTGGTAGTCTGTGTTCCGACCGCCCAGAGGTGGACACAGAGACCACAGACGGCCTTAGAAAGGCTTGGAAGTTACTGCTACGGACCTTACTATTGACTTACAACCCTCCCCAGAAGTCTTGCTAGACTCACAGCACCTTCCGTGGTTCTAAAGCCCCTCTTCTGGTCATGCAGTGGGCAGGGTGGTGAACATCAAGGCGCTCCTCTCAATTAGCCCACATGGTGGCTAGACAGGGCTGGAGCAGGGCAGCAGGACCAGGCTGCGATGAGGGCCACGGTGGAAGGGAGGGCAGCCCATCTGCCCCAAGCCAGGCCTCGCCTACACCTCTGTGTTTACAAAGTCACAGGGTCCTCATTCCACCTGTGTCAGGACGAACCCCTAGGGGCCCCCTCTGCTGCCAAGCAAGGGCAGGGAGAAGAGCAACTGAGCCCATGCCTCACAGGCCACAGGAAGTCCAGAAGAGCTGTGGAGGTCAAAGAGCGACCAGCGCGGAGTCTGAGGCAGCAAGATGTGGAGGAGGCTTAGCGAAGGCTGGAGAGCATTTGTGAACAGGAACTACCTTTCACGGACATTTTCCTCAATCTCTTAACTGAGCTGTGACTTTTAGAGGCCAGACAGGAGGCGGGAGGGCTGGCGGGCTGGGGTGCGCGGCTAAGACACACAGGGAGTCCAATGGCTGACATCAGAACACTCGTCATGCCTACACGGGTGCGAGATCAGACATGCAAAGGGGAGAAACATTAGAAGGAGTCATTCAGCAAGTGACGGAAACAAACCCTGCTGAGTCAAGGAGGCACCATGAAAGGCCATCAGGACCCATGAACCTCCCCAGGGAATTCAGCCTCTAGAGGCAGCCAAGTCCTACCTGGGCTGGCAGGATAGAGCTGCTGGCCAGGCCAGGCACCACAGCACTGGTACAATGGCCTGGCTCCCAGGAGCTCTGGCCCCATGTCCCACAGGCGTCGGTACAAGCAGCCAACCAGCCTGTGCCCACAGCACACAGGTGGGGCAAGGCCACTGCTTCAGAAGAGCAGAGGGCGGGAAGCAGAACACCAGCCTGGAAAACCCCCTAGAGCTGTCCCAGCTGGCGGGAAGGAGAGCAGAAGGGGCAATGTCGGGGAGAGCACAGCTAAGCTACGGACACTTGGACAAGGTGTCTTGGGCAGGGCTGTCTTCAAAGGCTTAGTCCTTTCCTGTTCTCCAGGATCTGGGGTCTGGGCATGCCCCCTTAGCTCTCCTGGTTGCTCTGCCTCCAATGGGGTGCTGTCTGCTTTCCATACACCCCTCTGGCCTACTTAGGTGCTGCGGTGGGTGAGGGGGAACCCTGTCCCCATGACTGCTCCCGTGATGGTCCCTCTGGAGCAGCAAAGGCCCCACACTGCATCTTCCTCTCGGGTGCCACAGCAGAGGGCAGGGCTACCGGTGAGGTGGTTGTGCTGAGGTAGGCGGACAGGCCACTCCGTCCAGAGCTTACTACTGCCTGACACCTGGGAGCAGACCTGGCTCTTTAGCCTGCTGCCCCATGCCCTCGTGGCTGGACTCGCCCCACGATGCTGTCCGCTGTGCGTTCCCCGACAACCCAGCATTCCTGGGACACAGCATGTCCTCGTGCTGGAGGTCTCTGCTCCTACCTCACACTCAGCATACTCTGCTGGCCACAGAACCACCTCCCTAATCTCCCTGTTATCAGTCTGGCTAAAAAGCAACTTCCTCCCAGGGGAAGGGAGCTCTGGGCGTCTCTCCATCCCCACTGTGGGTGGCTTTCAGGGTCCTCAGTAGCTGGCTGGAGCTGGCACAGTGGGGTGCAGGAGTAGGTACTGGAGACCTTGGCCCTCCTGAGTCCCTGGTTCCCTCCAGGTGAGGCAAGGTCACTGCTTTCAGGAGAGCAGAGGGCAGAAGGCAGATTATCAGCTAGAAAGCCTCCTAGGCTGTTTCAGGGAGCAGGAAGGACAGCAGGAGGGGCAACGTGCTAGAGGGCACAGCCAAGCTATGGCCACCTGGACAGGGCGTCCTGGGCAGGGCTGGCTTCAAGGACAGGCTGGGCAGCACCAAGGCAATTCAGATGGTAAGGGCCAGCCCCGCCACCACGGTCTCCACAGGAACAGTGGCTCTCAACCTGGCAAGCATGCCCAGCTGGGGACAAATGCTGAGGCCAGTCTCCAGCCTGGGCCACACAGCCGTGTCAGGCAAGGCAGATGTGGCTGCTCTGGAGATGCCGAAGCACACACCAGGAGACCGAGGTTTCAGCCTGGGCTCCCCTCATCAGTTAATGCCATGCCACCAATAGCCAAAGTTATTCCTGGGCACAAATGTAGTTCCCTCGGGAACTAGATGTCAGGTGGACAGAATGACAAGCAGGCTGACAAGCAGACACAGGTGGTGCAAAGATGGGGGAAGAACAGGAGCAGATGCAGTTTCCCTTACAAAGAACCCTGGGCCTTCATACCGACCGTGTCCTCTGACTAGAATAGACGCCCGCCCTACCCCCACCCCTAGTTGCACTCAGACATCTCCTCAAGGAGATGTAAAGGGGCCTCTTCTCCCTCCAGCTCTCTAGTTCCCATACTTCACCTTGTTCTTAGCCTCTGAGCATCTACGATTACTCATCTGTGTGTTTTACTAGGTGAGGACCGTCTGCCCATAGCTGTCTCTCCAGGGCCTTGGCAGTACCTGGTCCACAGAAGGCACTTGGTCCGTGTCTGGTGGAGAATGAAGATGCCCTCAGGCACCAGCATCAGCCCCTAAAAGGTCAGCGCCACACAGGACCCACGACCTGAGCGCAAGTGACGATGCAGAAGTCTCAGCTCAGAGCCTGGAGAGGGGCCGCATGGTCCCACGTGGGAAGGTTCCAGATTTGGTCTGGAAACCTCCCCGAGAACCCTGGGCACACCTGTACTCATGACCCAGGACTGGCTGAGGCTGGGGTGGACCATGGTGTGAAGTCTCTGTTGGAGGTGCAATCTCCTGTCTCTGTCTCTCTCTGTGTGTGTCTCTCACTCTTGGAATAAACAGACTTTGGAAAAAAAAAAACCAACCTGGAGGAGCAGCAGACCCTGTTCCATGTCCTCATGAATGAGCATGAAAACAACCCCATACCCAACGCTTCACAGAAGCAGCATCCAGGGCACAGGATGGGGGGCCACCAAGAGTGGGCCCTCACATCGTCCTCAACTACTAGGGCTCAGGGGAAGCCCCCAAACTCCTAGCACCCCCCTCCAAACAGCTCCAACAGTTCGGACGGCCAAAATTTGTTTCTCATCTGAAAGAATGTCCACTTTATCTGTCAAATAAATTCCCCCTTCCCAGATTCATTTCCCACTTTCCAAACCTCTTCCTGCCACCAAGGGTCAGCCTTTCCCCTAGTGGCTAGGGCTGATATTGAGCCTATTTTCCCTACCACTGTGGGTCCAGGCCCAGTAGCTGACCAGTTTTGGGCAGACCGCTACTCCCTCCCCCAGCATCAGCACCTATTTGCTCCCCGTGGTGCAGGGGATAGCCAGGTGGTGGCTGGAGAATATCGCCCCAACCTCACAGACCCCACCCCCCATAAAGGAGAAGGCTGGGTTATACTGCAGCTGGCAGGCACTGATGCCCGTCACCTGAAGGCACTGCTCCTCTGGCCTACAATCCACATCCTTCTACAACACGACCACTGCAGGCAAACCGTCCTGCAAAATCCTCTGGCCAGGCCTCACCTCTTCGAGGCCAGGCATGGTGTAACTGGCATCCACACAGCCCAGGGTGAGAGGGGAAGACTCCAGCCCTTGCTTCCTGGAGAAAGACCAGGCTCCTCTCATTCCCTGGTACCCCTGGCAGAGGTCCCATTAGTAGGTACCGACCACCCTGCCTTGAATTTAGGAGAGGCAGTAGTCTGGCCACGGCCCTGCTGCTCCTGCTTCCCAGTAAGTCCAAATTCCTGAACTTCTGGGGCCTCTTTC